GCGCCACTGCACTCCAGCCTGGGCGACAGTGTGAGACTCTGTCTCAAAAGAAGGAAAAAAAAAAGGAATAGGGTAGAGCTACAAAAGCAAAGCACTGACCTATGGGGAGAGAGCCTCGGGGGAGGAAAAGAGCTGCTCTTCTCCTTACCACTCTCAGCATGCCTGGCCTTGTTCTTTTTTTTTGACTTTGTGCATGTATTACTTTAATAAAAATAAGAAGAAAGAATGCAGGTAATTAGCCAAGTTTAAGCATCAAAGCCTTTTTGTCTGACGTTAAGGATGAAAATTTAGGTCCTGAGAGGCATTTCACTGAGAAGACACAGGAAATAAAAAATGATTTTCAATGCAGAAGGATAAATGTTATAATGTAATAATCATCATATATACATAAATAAAAATAATTTAAGGGTGCAACTCTACCGAGACAGAAAGAGAGGCTAGACCTTAAAATCAAGGCCATTCATTTTTAAATGAATAAAGTTGTACTGCAAGGCAAATGGCAGGTTCAGACAAATGACAGGACATCATGCACAGAGCCATCACTCACCACGTCCTTCCTGTACAGCACCTCCAGGATGTGGCTGAGCAGCTGACAGCAGGCCTCCAGGTCCTCCTGTCTCTCCAGATGGTACTTGAGCTGATCGGTCATCATGGGAAGCAGGATCTCTCTGCAGTCTACATAGGACACAGGGTTGCCAGTCAGTGTGAAACCCACCAAAACACAACTATGTTTGCTATAAGCTTGTCTGCCCTTTCAAGCAGTTTGCATTTACATTGTGCAACACGTGAAACTGACATCTGGAGGGGGGTCAATTACTTGACTGTGAGAACGTCACGTCTGCTGTTATTGTAAATAATTCACACATAAACACACTTCCATGCATCTGTGTGTGTATCCCAGGTAAATAGATAATAATTTGCAAACACACAAGATACATATAAACACACACACTTACATCCCATTGTGTGCACATAAATGCAGACACAAACACACATGGGTTTTTTAATGAATTTTCTCTAACTATAAATTCACTAATTTACAACATTAAAAGAAATACTTCCTACAACACAAATTATTTGAATTGGCAGCTTTTTTCATCCATTCCAAGGTGAGTCAAAAAGTATGGTTTCCTTCTCCTGGGTAGAAGATGCCAATCTTGGAATGTGACAATTTAAGGCACACAGAGTCCTCACTGAGGAGGAACAGGAAATGGAAACCAGGGCAGAGGCCCCGCTACGGGAACCGTGGCTATAAAATTAAGGGATGCCATGGTGTAAGGATCAGAGGCAAAGCAGGTTTCAATTTCCATTTGTTCTTTCGACAGGAGCATAGGAAGGATGTTCAGAAAATAAAAGAGCAATAGGGAAACAGACACAAATACGATTAAAGGTGAAATGCAATTCCTAATTGTCTCTTCCAGTTGGGAAATCCAACTTAACTGGAGCATCATCCGCTCTCCAGCATGGACTACCTGTTTACAACACCAGTTCTGTGTTTTGACGCTAGTCCAGCCATTCTTGTTTCCTTTAAATGCAGAGCACATGAGGAGACAGCAGTGCTCTAAAACCTTAAATAGACTTAGCCGGTTTTCAGGATTTTATATTTTAAGACTTACAACATTAATGATACATTAAAACATGCTTTGCATTAATGTTTCTTTTATGTAAGAAAACTATAAGCATGCAACATTGGAATGGTTCTTCTGAGTACGCGGAGCACACTCAGAACTTTCCCACAAACTACACTACAGTGAAGGACTGGGGTGCAGGCAGAGAGAAACAAAGATTGAGAAGAAGCACAAACCCTTCTACTCCCCTGTCTCCAGTGGATCACATGTGGGCGGCCCCTGCCAAAGCCTTCCCCAGTTCCAATTTTTATTGATTTCCCAGGAAAGGACTGATAGCAACGCCATTTTTCCAAAAAGTTTTGTCCACTTAACATAGGAAAATGTGAATGTCCCTGCTGATTTCACAATGCCAGTAGTCAATACTTAGGCGGAAGTAATGCAGGCTGTGCTAAGTGTGCTAAGTGCTGCACATCTTCTGGAAAGAGGCCATGTCAGCCTCGAAGGCTGTGGTGTCTGGAATCCCTCAAGAGGTCAGTGAGGGAGAGCACAGTGCCAAGATGGGATGGGCTGGCCCTATAGGAGACTGCCCGAGTGTTAGAGCCACCTGAGAATAAAGCCAGTCCAAGAGAAATGAACAAGAAAATGACCTCAAGGGAGTGAATCCAGCCTGGAAACACTAATGCATAGGACCCACTATTTCCACAAATACCCCCAAATCTCAATGCCTTTCCTATAGAATCTACAAACTACATCCAGACTCTTGAGCTGCTGACCTTAACCACAACGCAGCATCCAGCGTAGGGTTTAACTCCAGATGCTCTAGTCCAGCTGGCTGAAATGCTTCCTCAGCCCATCCTTATCTGAGCCCAGCCCTGCCAGCACTCTTCCTCGTGGTGCCCACCGTGATATCTCCCAAATGAGTCCTCTTGCCCTTTGGCTGGAAACACATCACGCACTGTGCCAACCTCAACATGGGGAGAGCCCTGGGCCAACCCTGTCACTTGGTCATCCCTAGCACTGCCACCATTCTGGAAAACAAGCTGAATTTCCAAGAAACCTCAGAGGGAGTAGTTAGAACCACTAAGACCCCTGCAGGTAATGATAGTCCCTGACAATGTGACTAAGGAAAAAAATGACTACATAAGCTTAGAAGCCGACTTCCAAAGCAAGCTTAGCATAGACCAAAGAGAGGGAAAAGGTCTAATGGACCAGCCAGTACAGGTTGGAAGGAGGGTGTGTCCCTAAGTGATTCCAGAAAATCAGGGGAACATAGCACTGGGCTCAGAGACAGCAGAGCTGGCCCTATAGACTCTGGTACCCAGATGTCCTGGCCTAAATTCATCCCTCACTGCACCATTTATCCGTCATGCTGGGTAGGCAGTTGTGGCCTGTGCTGTTCTCAGAGCTAACTGAGTGTGCTGGTCTCATTTGTTAGAATTACTCTGGGGAGAAAGAAGAGGTGTCTGCCTGTTCACCTTTGGCTGGGAGATGCTATCACCCATCTTTGGTTACCTGGTGGGAACGTTCACCATCCACCCCACCTGGAGGACTGCGCTACCTTCACCTGTTTGCTATCCAGCCTCTCTTGAGGAGAAACAACAAAACTTTTAGAAATGTCACTGTCATTTTGTCCCATATAAAGACATTTCATTCACTAAGCCCCCAAGAAGATTTTTTTAAAAATTGTTATAACCATCCTGATAGACGAGAATCCAACTGCACCTCAGCCTTCATGACCCAGCCATCCATGGCCAGTCAAGATCAAGGGGGAAGGTGGGGCTATGTCTATTTTAACTGTCGGGACAAAATGAGATGATGCCTGAGGGAGGACTTTGTAAAAAGTCATCCAACATGCCTCAGTGAGAGGTCTCCCCCAGCACCATCAGCGTCAGGAAACTACACCCCTGACCCCAAAACAGAACCGGGTCACTGAGGAGGAGCAGGCTGGCAACCAGGCTTTCCCTAAAGGCCAAAGGTTACTCTGCCCATGCCAGGGATTTCAACCAGGCCTCCAGGCAGAGGGTCACACAGGCTGTGGCACCTTACAGTACCTTCTGTCACCTGGTCCATAGCAACCCATTCCAGACCCCGAAGAAAGTCAACTCCCCAGAGCCACTCAGAGAGGCTGGGAGGACCGAAGCCGAAGGCAGCAAAGCCAAGGAGTGCACCTCCCTGGTGACCTGTGATCGGCAGGCCTCAGCACAGTCCCTGGTGGACCCAGGTACAGGCAGGCCTCCAATGCCCCGTTATCGAAACATCTGAAATACTGATTGCTTTAATTATCTGTTCCTCCTTACTGGGATGCAATCTCCATAAAAGCAGAAGCCTTCTTATTTTCCTTAAATGGCATATCCAAGCACATAAACCAAGGCCTGATGACAGTGGTAGTATGAGTGTGTGTGTCTGGGATTAACTTGCAATTACATGCATGTGGTATCAAACTAAAGTCTGCAGTTAAAAGCAGGTCTACTGCTCCCAACCCTCAATAAATGGTAGCTGTTAATAGCAATAATACAAATATCATTATACAAAGTCAGCCTTTTCAACTAAAAATATACAAAGAAAACGAAAGCCATACAGCTGTGCTATCCAGTGCAGTAGCCACTCAGCTGCCTTCCCTAAAAGTGAAAACATAAATTTCTTAAAACCTCATGTTTTAAGGGGCTTCTCTTATTCTGTATTTCTGTCTACAGATAGTAGGTTTTTTCAAGAAGTGGTGGGAGTACACGTTTTAAGTAACAGTAAAACTCTAGAATTTTATCTTAAGATAGCAAATCAAGAGCACTGAGGAACATACACTACAAAGACAGAGGAACAGATAGACACACACACACACACACACACACACACACACACACACACACACACACACCCTACAATGACCTATTTTAAAGCATGAACAGCTGTCTCTGGCAGTCAAGGAAGCAGAATCTCCCATCTTCCTATGGACTTCACACCTAAATGTCCTGAACACTCTTCCCATGGACGAAATGTCATTTCCACGGGTTTGGCACTGATAGTCCCATTAGTTCCAAAGCAGATGGCCTGGGAACCCAACAAATAATCCACCAGGAGAAAAAAAAAAAAAGGAACGCGGGATCTTATATTTTAAAGAAAAACACATCATCTTTTGAAAACTCTGGAACAAATACTCGACCAGAAGTCCAGGAACCTGGGTCACTTTACGGGATTTGGGGAAAGCCTTTTAATCAGTTTACTCACACATATGAAGAAATAGTGCAATCCCCCCTCCTGGCTCTTTGCTTTGTATCTTGGGCAAGTTACTTAAAGTTACTGAAACTCTCTAGGTCTTAATTCTTCTTTTGTGCAAAATGGGGATGCTGTTGGTCATCTCCCAGATTGACCGTGAGAACTAAATGATACAATGCGTGTATTTAGCAAATATGAGCCTACAACAAATGGTGGTAACAGAAGGAATAGTATTATACAAAGTCAGCCTGTTCAACCAAAAGGACACAAAAGAAAACTAATACCTCAGAGCTGTGATATCCAGCCCAGAAACCTCTGAACATGTGAAATCTAATTAGTGCCATGGAGGAATGGAATTTTTAACATTATTTAATTGTCGTTAATATAAACTTAAATGTAAAAAGTGCTACTGGATTTACTTATTAGAAATCAATGTTTGAAACAACTGGGGTATGTGAATCTCATTTTTCAAAGGTAAATTATATTCAATGATGAAAATAAAGATCAAGTGTCTGGTGAAAGTTTCACATCCAGACTGAGATGTGCTGTACAGGTGTAAAATACTGGATTTCAGAGACTTCATATGAAAAAAAGAACGTAAAATATGTATCATTAATAATATTTAGAGAGAATTCATGTTGCAGTGATGTTTTAGACAAAATACATCGTTAAAATTAATTTCATCAATTGCCTCATTTTTTAAAATGTGGCAACTAGAATATTTTTAATTACATACATGGCTCACATTCTATTTCTGCTGGACAGGACAGTCTCAGAGTATGCTAGTAAGCAGATGTTAAAGACCTTGTATGTGACTTCTGATTGTTATGAACTGGCATTTATTGTAAGCAGAGTCACGGCCACAGCTCTCTCCTATCAGACACCCCATCACACATA